GGAGCTCCGAAGTGAGAGTCGGTATCCTCCCAGCCTAGCCGCAGATTCAGTAAACAAGCATAGGATTAGTCAATGTTCTTTATGCATGGACCAAAGGGTAAAGAATAGATATGCTTCTATTTGGCACAATATAAATTGAACTAATTCATTTTATCCATTCACTATAATTTCTTGACAAGGAGAATGATGTTTTCTTATATATTGAATATCACAATTAAACCCTACTTTATATCATTAGTTATTTATTAGTTATTAAAATTATCTATTTATTTCAATTGTCTATTAGTGACAGATAAACAAATTGAACGTTATTGTTGTGATTAAAGTCTTGCTTTTTTAAGGTCTTAGTCTGTAATTCTAAACTACTTCATGTGGGATCAATATCTAGGACTCCATTAGAGTCCTATATTACTTGAGTGATATGTATACTTGCGTTGACAAATTCGACTCTAACATTATTGAATATTATATTTATACATCTTAATCAAATTAGACACATCTATAAAGTCGCGATCAAGTCTTTGGACGCCGTTGCTGGAAATTAAATCTTCTAGTAGCGCCATCAAATTCTTGTATTTGTCGATTTACAAAAAGTCGATCACAATGTTATTGTGATAACGGTAATTATCAATATTTATTAAGTAGGGAGTGTCCTCATAAATACCAGGAGCTCAGTGAATGTACTTTTCAAGCAGATAATTGACAAACTAAGTCTCACTGTGATTGGATGATTTCAACGGTTGGACCATTATATGGATTTTCAAGCAAAAGGAAGGCAGCACTGGGGGCAATTAGACTCCCAGTAAGTTGGGGGGAAAACGAGAAGCAGTTTACGCTGACGGAGGATTTCCTCATGATGGATTACCCCCAACATATAATGATATATTCGGCCAACCACTTCTAAATGATTTTAGGGCGGTGGTCTCCACTTGTCATGTCGCTGTCAAGTTTATTGAAGCTGTCATGAGTCTGCTACTTGCAAGCCACGAGCAATGTGGAACATGATCTCATGGACATCCAGAATGCAATGGAAGGTGGAATCAAGACCAATGAGACCACCCGTGAAGTTCTAGCCATCAAGGCGGAATCAGGTAAATGTTTTCTAATAATTAAAGCTTTTGATGCAGAACATAGGGAGATGTTGGTTCATACCCTCCAAGAAAATTGGAATGTCTTTGCGTGAAAGCCTGCTGAAATGCTAAGCGTGTTGATCGATGCGGCCTACCACAAATTGAATAATGATTCATCTGCTCGACCCATGAAGTAGAAGATTAGAAGCTCGGCAATGCACTAGCGGGACCCATTCAAGAGGAAGTACGAAAGCTGAAAGAGGTAGGATACATACAAGAAGTGAAATAACCCATCTAGGTCCCCAATGTAGTGATGGTGCAAAAGACTAACGATAAATGAAGGATGTGTGTTGACTTCACTGACCTGAACACAGCCTACCAGGATGATGAACTTTTTTAATTCTTCGTTCTCCTTAAGGAGAGTTGTCACCTGGGCCTCATGTTTCTGAGCCTCCAACTCCCTCTGCTCCACAGATAGTTTTAACCTTTCCTCAGCCATATGAGTAGTCCCCATTCAAAAAGGTAAGAGGTTACCACTCAGTCTGCCTATCAAAAAGAGCATAGTGACCGCTTTTACAAACTCCAGCCCCTCGGTCATGAGAGAAGAGCCACCAGGCATAATCCCTCCTCTTCTTAGTGGAGAAGGCAACTCAGTCCTTGAGATGGATGCCTTCACTTTTCTTAGAAGAATATCTTCCTACGCTCCCTCAATGGCCCTTTTTTCTCCCTCCAACCCAATCCCTATCAAGATGGGACTGGAGGAGCAACTCGTCTCTGCTTAATCGTATAAACCCACGAATGAAGTCCTGTCAGAAGTCACT